TGCAGATGTCCACTGGCTTTTCGCTCACTTTCCAACGGGGGCTGGTGCAGGATTGCCCGTTGCCTCTCCAGTCCAGCCTCTCTGCCCATGCTGCCCTTCAGCCCTCGTGTTCTTCTCCCCCCCTTCGCGAACGCGTCTGCGACGGGTGTTTCGAGTTTTCACTTTGAGGGCAACTCGGAAGTCACCCGCCAGCAAGGGTTTGTGACACTCGCAGAACGTGGGCCTTCGGGAGTTCTGCTTCCGCGTGCGGATGCCCTGTCCTCGGAGTCTGGGATGGTTTGCCCACCTGCCCCAGAGCCTGCTGGAACCGAGAAGGCAAATTTGAGCGGGGAGATGAGGGAGGGGGAACTTTGGCAGCGGGGGTTACGGTAGGGGGAGGGCAGGGCGGTAGGTAGGGGCGGTGGCAAAGTTCTGGGAGGGGAGAAAGGTGGGGCTGAATCAGCGCAGGAAGCTTCAGTGCTGGAGATAGTACTCTGTTCTTGCACCCCCGTCGCGAGACGTGCAAAGGATAGGAGCTTGTTCGGTTCTCCAAAGAGTCCGAATCCTCATTCTTCTTCTTCTTCTTCTTCCTCAGGCGTTGCCAGTGACGCTCGTCGCGCGTACTGGCACGCAGCTGCAGTCGGCCACCCAGCCTCTGCCGATCTCGATCAAAGTAGTCGTTAGCTTGCTTGCTGGCTGTCAGGCATGCGTGCCAGAGGGTGCCGGGGCGGGGGCTTCGAGGGCAAGACAGGGAGGGAGCCACAACGCAGAAACTTACATAGAGGCGAAGCCTCTCATGGTCACTGACAGCGATTGTCCGTCTGTGGCCGTTTGGGTAGCTTGCACTCTGACCTCCGACGTCGTGTCGTGAGGGAGGGAGGGGAATATATATATATATATATAGAGAGAGAGAGAGCGGGAGAGAGATAAGGAGCGAGAGAGAGCGAGAGAGAAACAGGGATAGGGAGAGACCAGGCAGAGAGAGAGAGAGAGATAGAGAGAGAGAGAGAGAGAGAGAGAAGGAGAGGGAGAGGGAGAGGAAGCGGGACGAGCGGGAGATGGTAAGCTAGGTGCGCTGGCGCCAGACGTGACGTTCTAGCCCTCCCACCCATAACTTCTCATGGCGCTGTTTTCTGTATCCGCCGACGAGTGTCGTAGCGGACCTGGAACTCCGAAGAGGACCCAATCGTGCTAGGTATAATTGGAAAGACGGGAGCGACGTACATTGGAGGAGGAGGAGGGGGTGGCGGATGAGTAGCAGGATGAGCAGGATGACAAAGAGGATGAGGAAAGGGGTCAGGACGAACAGCAGAAGCAGCAGCAGCAGGAGCTGGAGTGGAAGGACTGGGAGGAGCAGAAGGACCAGGGAAAGGCGGAGCAGCCACGTGACCCGCGCTGGGGCGAGCGCGCAATTCTGAGCGACGGCAGCATAGCTCCGATCCGAACATGAGGCCTACGCTGTAGTGGGGTTACTATTATGAAACACCGAAAACAATCTGATTGTACACAGCCAGAAGAATGCTTAACTTTTGAAGTCCTGTGTGGAAGCGAACGTCAACACGCGGAGAGGGCCGAGCATCTTCCTGACATGGCCAGGGGAGGGGAGGGCAGTATCCGCCGCCCCCTGTTGATTCATCACAGGGGTGCCTGGCGTGCTGGACTTCTTACGGTTTGGTTTTGGTTCTTCGGCCCGTCCCGCCGGGGTCTCCGCTCCCCTGGCGCTTCGGCCCGTCCCGCCGGGGTCCCCGGAGGCTTTTCCAGGCGCGCAAACGACCTCAACGTCCACAACAAATTCTTTACGCGTCGCGTGTCCCCACCAGCCCATCTCACAGCAGTGGTTTTCAGGGGTGTGTCGCTCGGGCCCCTCCTTGTGTGTGAGTCGCTCGGGCCCCTCCTTGTGTGTGAGTCGTTCGGGCCGCTCGTCCTGGTGTTCGTCGCTCGGGCCCCTCCTGGTGTGTGAGTCGTTCGGGCTCCTCGTGGTGTGAGTCGTTGGAGCCCCTCGTCCTGGGGTGAGTCGTTCGGCCTCCTCGTGGGCCTCTTGGGGGCCTCTTGGAGGCTCTCGGGGCCTCTTGGGGGCCTCCTTGTGGTCTCTTGGGGGCCTCTTGGGGGCCTCGAGAAGCGTCTTGGGGCTTCTTGGAAGCCTCTTGGGGGCCTCTTGGGGGCCTCTTGGGGCCTCTTGGGGGCCTCGTGGGGGCCTCGTCCTTCCTTGTGTGAGTGCCTCGGGCCCCTCATTGTGTGTGAGTCGTTCGGGCTCCGCGTGGTGTGAGTCGTTCGGGCCCCTCGTCCTGGTGTGCGTCGTTCGGGCCCCTCCTGGTGTGTGAGTCGTTCGGGCTCCTCGTGGTGGGAGTCGTTCGGGCCCCTCGTCCTGGTGTGAGTCGTTGGGGCGCCTCCTTGCGTGTGAGTCGTTCGGGCTCCTCGTGGTGTGAGTCGTTGGGGCCGCTCGTCCTGGTGTGCGTCGCTCGGACCCATCCTTGTGTATGAGTCGTTGGGGCTCCTCGTGGTGTGAGTCGTTGGGGCTCCTCGTCCTGGAGGGAGTCGCTCGGCCTCCTCGTGGGGCCTCTTGGCCCCTCGTCCTGGTGTGAGTCGTTGGGGCGCCTCCTTGTGTGTGAGTCGTTCGGGCTCCTCGTGGTGTGAGTCGTTGGGGCCCCTCGTCCTGGGTTGAGTCGTTCGGTCTCCTCGTGGGGCCTCTTGGGGGCGTCGTGGAGGCTCTCGAGGCCTCTTGGGGGTCTCTTGGACGTCTCTTGGGGTCCTCTTGGGGGCCTCTTGCGGCGTCTTGGGGCTTCTTGGGGGCCTCTTGGGGGGCTTTTGGGAGCCTCTGGGGGCGTCTTGGGGGCCTCTGAGGGGCCTCGTCCTTTCTTGTGTGAGTGCCTCGGGCCCCTCATTGTGTGTGAGTCGTTCGGGTTCCTCGTAGTGTGAGTCGTTCGGGCCCCTGGTCCTGGTGTGCGTCGTTCGGGCCCCTCCTTGTGTGTGAGTCGTTCGGGCTCCTCATGGTGTGAGTCGTTCGGGCCCCTCATCCTGGTGTGAGTCGTTCGGACCGCTCGTCCTGGTGTACGTCGCTCGGGCCCCTCCTTGTGTGTGAGTTGTTCGGGGTCCTCGCGGTGTGAGTCGTTGGGGCCCCTCGTCCTGGGGTGAGTCGTTCGGCCTCCTCGTGGGCGTCTTGGGGGCCTCTTGGAAGCTCTCGGGGCCCCTTGGGGGCCTCTTTGTGGTCTCTTGGGCGCCTCTTGGGGGCCACGAGGGGCGTCTTGGGGCTTCTTGGAAGCCTCTTGGGGGCCTCAGATGGGCCTCTTGGGGCCTCTTGGGGGCCTCTTGGGGGCCTCGTCCTTCCTTGTGTGGGTGCCTCGGGCCCCTCATTGTGTGTGAGTCGTTCGGGTTCCTCGTAGTGTGAGTCGTTCGGGTTCCTCGTAGCGAGAGTTCGCGTCTGTGTGCGTTGCAGATATGTGAGTCGTTCCAGCTCTTCGTGGTATGAGTCGTTGGGGCCCCTCGTCCTTCCTTGTGTGACTCCTTCGGGCCCCTCATTGTGTGTAAGTCGTTCGGGCTCCTCGTGGTGTGAGTCCCGTCCTTGTGTGTGAGTCGTTCGGTCCCCTCCTCCTGGTGTAACTCGTTCGGGCTCCTCGTGGTGTGAGTCGTTCGGGGCCCGCGTCGTGGTGTGAGTCGTTCGGGCTCCTCGTGGTGTGAGTCGTTCGGGCGCCTCGTCCTGGTGTGAGTCGTTCGGGCCCTTCCTTGTGGTGTGAGTCGTTCGGGCTCCTCGTGGTGTGAGTCGTTGGGGTCTCTCGTCCTGGTGTGAGTCGTTCGAGCTCCTCGTGGGGCCTGTTGGGGGCCTCTTGGAGCCTCTTGGGGCGTCTTGGGGGCCTCTTGGGGGCCTCTTGGGGGCGTCTTGGGGGCCTCTTGGAGCCTCTTGGGGCCTCTGGGGGGCCTCTTGGGAGCCTCTTGGGGACCTCTTGGGGCCTCTTGGGGGCCTCTTGGGGGCCTCCTGGAGGCCTCTTGGGAGCCTCCTGGGGGCCTCTTGGGTCCATCTTGGAGCCTCTTGCGACCTCCTCAGAAGCGCAAATGAGCGCTGCCCCCTGATTTGACCAAAGTGAGCCCAAAACCTTCGTAAAATCAATGATTTTGCTATGAAGGAAGGGGAACGCGGCCCCCTCAGAAGGCCAACATGGGGCCAAAACCGTAGTAAAATCAATGATTTTTGCTTCAAAGACGAGCTGAGGGACCAAACTTCCCCCCCCCCCCCTCGGGGCCAGAATCCTCGTGAGGGTCGTCGTTTTTTGGCCCTCCCAGGCGTCGAAAAAGACCCTCCTGACGACGCTCGGAACCCCCTCTCCAGGTCCAGGGGGAGGGGGTAGGGGGAGGGGTAAACTCTTCCCCGAAGGGGAAGAAGGGGGGTTGAGGACAGAGAGAGCTCCCTAAACCACTCACGCCCAAAGGGCTGGTGGGATTCTCCAATGCGGCTCACTATGGCCTCCATGATGGCCACGTTGGCCCAAGATGGCCTCCAAGATGGCCTCCGATGGCCTCCATGTCCGCCCAAGATGGTCCAAGACGGCCTCCAAGACGGCCCAATAGAGTCCAAGACAGCCCAAGACGGCCCAAGAGGCCCCCTAGAGGCCTCCAAGACGGCCCACAATGCCTCCAAGAGGTCCTCCAGGAGGGCCCGAAGAGGCCAACATCACTGATTCCCCGTAAGTTTTTTGAAGGATTTTGGCATTCGCTTCTTCTCGGCTTTCCGACGACCAAAGACGGCCCAAGAGGCCGGATACGGGAATATGGGAGGCAGGTGGGAGGAAAGTAAGCGGTACGTAGAAAAACCGAGGGAGGAGGGAGGAGCGATGGAGGCTCTCTTGGGATGAGGGGACAGGAGTAGGGAGAGTTAATCGCGAGAGGGGGTGGGAGGATAGGGGCGAAGGGTGAGAGGGTCAGGCGGGGAGGAGACGTGGTGGAGCGAGGGGTGGATGGAAGGGGAGGAGCGGGCGGGAGGGTGGAAAAGGGGTGAGGGAAAAACGAATCCGAGGTCACTCACGCTGCTGATGGAGGAGGGCGCCCCAGTGTTCGACTGGGCGAACCAATCGCCGCCGTTGCCATCCGCCAAGGCTCTTCGTGGGGTGGGCCACGGCGCGGAGACCCCCGCAGTGACGACCCGAATCCGCGAAAATCTGTAGTCTGAGTGGTGCAGGTTTCCTTGGCGACCGATTTTTGGTGCACTTGTTGCTCTCCTCTTAGTTTCTGCCTGAAGTCGTTGGAGACGTCGTCGGTGTCGTCGTAGTCGGTGTCGGCGGCGCCGTCGTCGTCGTTGTCGCTGTCGTCGTCGGTGTCGTGGCCAAGTGTCATGTGGTACGTACCGTCACGGTCTTGTCTCAAAAGGTTTTGCGGCCAAGTTGCGGGTGGGAGGGTGGGATGTTTGCACGAGCAGTGGAGAGGACAGTTTCAAGACGGTCAAAGATTATTGCTCTCCTCTTAGTTTCTGCCCGCAGGCGCGTCGTTCTTCGACTTTCGAAAACATGTAATACTTGGGTGCTTGCTCATGAGCCAGATTTGGCCGCCAAGTGCACTTGGTACTGTTCCCTATCATCATGCGGTGTAGGGCCCTCGTTTCGAAGAGACAGCGCCCCGCGTCTTCTTACTCCTTTCCTTCCTTCCGTCTTTCCTTCCCTCCCGCTGCTCTCTCTGCCTCTGCCCTCCGCAGTCTCTGCTTCGGCTTACCCTCGCGCGTTTCGTGGCCCCTATGAGACCCCTGTGGCTGCGTTCGCATACCTTCTCCACACAATGTCGGCGCACCCGTCAGACGTTTCGTATCCGCATGTTGAGCTGCACCTAAGGCACAAGTGGCTGCGTTCGTATGCCATGCCTGCACCTTGTCGGCGTACCCCTCACACGTTTCGTGGCCTCATAGGGAGCTCCGCCTGAGGCCCCAGTGGCTGCGTTCGCATGCCTTCGACGCACCATTTTGGCGCGCTCCACACACCCTTTCGTGCCGCATGCCTTCTCCACGTCATGCCAGCGTGGCTTTCACATTTGCGTGGCCCCGTAGGGAGCTCCATCTGATGCCCAAGTGGCTGCGTCCGCATTCTTTCCCCGCGCCAGGTCGGCGCACCCCTCACGCGTTTCAACGCCCCATGGGGAGCTCCACCTGAGGCCCCAGTGGTGCGTTCGCATTCCTTCGCCACATCATGCCAGCGCTCCCTTCACACGTTTCGTGGCCCCATGGGGGGCTCCACCGAAGGCCCGAGTTGCAGGAATCGCATGCGTCACCGCGCCCATTTCGGCACACCCCTCACACGTTTCGTGGCCTCATAGGCAGCTCCACCAGAGGCCCCAGTGTCAGGAATCGGATGCGTGACCTAGCCCATGCTGGCATACCCCTCGCACGTTTCATAGCTCCATAGGGAGCTCCCACCGAAGGCCCCAGTTGCAGGATTCCCACGCGTGACAGCGCCCATGTCGGCGCACACCTCACCCGTTTCGTGGCCCCATAAGGAGCTTCATCGAAGGCCCCGCAGCCTGCTGCCTCCCTGGGCCGCGCCGATAGACGCGCAGATCAGCTGTAACATATTACATCCAGATGTAATCCGTTACGGCCGACCTCTGCGTCTCCATCAGCAACGTCGTTCCGTGCATCCCACGCACACCGGAATAATTTTGCTGGCCCCCTCTCTTCGTTTCCACCTGTCTTGCGATACTTGCGGGCAAAGCGGCCTCGTGACGAACAAGCGGATGTAGTTTATACCTGGCAGTTTATTTGGGCTTCTGTACAGGCGCACTGCGAGCATTTTGACTCCGACGCTTTCAGCGCCTGCAGCCCTGGCTAAGGTCCTGGGATGTGGTTGCGATGCCGCCCCGCGCCCACTGCCCTGGCTCTTCAGCCCTGGCTGGCCGCATTGGCGCGCTCGCCGTGATCACTAGTGAGCGCCCCCCCTCCCCCTCTCCGATCTCTCCGCGGCTGCCCTGCCCTCCCGCGCCCCCGTTCTCCTGCAGCCAGACAATTCGTTGACCGGTTGCCCCGACTACCGCGAGCGCCCGCGCGGATTGCCTCTGCCGTGCCGCGACGGAAAAAAACCGTTTGGGGCCAACTCCAGCTAGTATCTATCACATGTTTGGCCGCCCATGCATGCTTTCGTCCAACGACAGAGGGTCAACAAAACAAAAGCAGCAACAACAGCAACCACCACCACCACCACCAACACCAACAACAACAACAACATCAATTACTAGCACGTGGGGACACTCCGTTCTCACCAGTGCCAGGGTTTTCATAGGAGGCGGGCAATACCCCCACTTTGTGGGGGGGCCGGTTCAAGCTCTACCAAATTTCCAAACGACTCTTCGCCACCACCCACACCCAGCTTCCCGCCCTATGACGTTCGGACACTTCACTTCGTGGCATGCGGACGACCGTGGCTACTATTCAGGGCCCCGCGGCCGACGACGACGGCGTGCGCGCGCGAAGAAAAAACGAATGTGTCCCGCATGGTATTATTTGACAGGGATGATGGCCCTGGCAGGTGCGCAACCGTTGTCGCAGAAGTTCGAAAAAGTTGCTCGCAAAAGCCCGTTTGACAGAAATGTTTAAAAAGTGTTGGGTTTCCTACGAATCCGCAAGAGCGCGCGGGATGAGATTTTGACATTTTTTTGTTGAAAAACCATTGGTTTTTTGATGTTTTTATGTTAAAATCGCTCCGAACACTAAGCTTTTGGAAGGATTTCGTCTTGCGCGCGCGAATGTCCACTTTACCTTATTTTTTGCAAGGGATTCTTGAAATTTGATTATATTAGAACAAGAAATGTCATTTTATAGTGTTTTTTGCAAGGGAAAACGGATTACAACAAAACAACCGGATCTGGACCCCATCCACTTTTCTGAAGCTTTCGCGAAAAAATGATGAAAATGTAGCTGCGGCCTAGGCGCGGCGGGGGGGCCGTGCACCAGGGGTCCCAACAATAATTATTCTTTAGAATTAATAATGTTCAACAATCATTCCAAGACTGTGCGCTCCTACCGGCCCGCGTGTCATTCACCATGCATATCCCAAGCCCTGGATACCCGCCCTCATCGTCTTCGATCGTACCCCCTTTTTTGGGGTTATATTCCTTCCTGGCCACGTGTAATTGGAGAGGCCCCTAAACAGGGAAACGAAAGGGGAACGAGAAAAAGAGAGGACGAAGGGATCGGAGGACAGGAGGGACTAGAAAGGCAAGGGGGAGAGACGAAGATGATTTGTGCCGCGAGTTGCGATTCAGCTTGCGCCATGGCTTGCGCCAGCCATTCCAACACAGATTAACAAAGGCTTCGCCATTGGTCGCGCCATAAACAGTGCCATGTAATACCTCTGGTGCTACCCGGCGAGGTGTTGGAGGCGAACGTGGTGCCCGATGCCATCTCCTAGAGCGCTGCAGGGCCAGAGTGGGTGAGAGGAAACAGCAGGGGCCGCGGGCTTTGTTGGTGCTGCACGACATGCGGCATTCACGGCGGGCGGGGGAACAGCATAGTGGTAGCTGGCTTCGGCGCTGCCCAACGAGAGCTGGGAGGCGAAACGGCAATCAGAGGCAGCGAGCTCTGGCACTTGTCTGTGGGATGCGGCAATCGACACTGGGATCCCATTGCATTAACTATAACGCGGTGGTCACCGCGTGCAGGATAACGACCTGTGGTAATGGACAGTGTTGTTGCCCAGCGGCCCCGTGGAAGGTGAAGTGGGAGCCCGATTTCACGAATCACAGCGCTGGGATTCGAACGTGCGGGAATCTTATGAGCTATATGCAGTAACGGGGCACCATTACCAAAGCGCCGGGATCTGCGTGTGCGAGAGGGGCAAGCCGCAGCAGCAGGCACTTGCGATGCTGCTCAGCGCAAAGTGGGAGGCAACGCTCAAAGAGACATGGGAGGTGAACTGGAGCCCGCCGTCTCCAGCCACGACGTTGGGGTCATAGGTCTGGCGCCGCTCGGGAACGCATGGGAGACGATGCCCAAACCAAACGTCACCAGCTGCAGCGCTTGTACCGGCGCGTGCGCGGCAGGCTGGCTGTCCCAATGGTGGGCTCTGGGGCTGCCCGGCGGGGCGTTGAGGGCGAAATTGGAACCCGGTGGGAAGCGCGGGGAAGTCCTCATATACAGCGACTGTGTGCGCGACAAAAATTGGGCAGCGCGTGTGAGAAGGGAGCTGCTGGTGGTTCTGGTGCTCGTTGGCGTGATGTGGGCGGCGAGGCCGGAACCCGACGCTGTCTCAGCTTCAATGGTGGAGCAGGGCATTCCCGCCTTGGGCGCCCACCTCCAGTTGCCGGGCGCCGCTCGTCGACCAGCCAGTCCCCGGCTCTACGGCGGGCGGGGTTCGGGGGGCGCGAGGGGCAGACTTCCCCAAGGGCGTCGACTCTGGGAGAACCGATGGCCATGCGATCCCCGCATCGAACGCAGAACAAAGATGGCCCCGAACGCTGGGCCTTATAGCCGTCACGTTTGAGGAGGGGCCCACTCCCCGCCGCCCCGTCGGCAGCGGCGGCGCCCCGCGCAGCCCCCCGCCCCCTTGGCAACGCCGCCCGAGCTGCTCAACAGCTAGGGCGCGGTCCTGGGGCGTGGGCGACGGGCTGCGCAGGGCCCTTGGCTTCAGAAGCGTCTTAACCAACAGCGACAACGATCATTCTAAGACAGTTGGTTCTTATTGCGTCGCGTGCCACGCAACGCGTGTATCCCAAACCCTTGATACCCGCCGTCTCTGTCTTCGACCGTGCACCCTCGGGGGTATTCCTGCCTTGCCTGCCGCGCGCGTTGAGCGCGGCCCTCAAAAACGGGAAAGGGGGGCGGGCGGGGGATGAGAAGGATGGAGCGCGCGAGAGGGTCTCGCGGAGCAAGTCGCGAGGGGGCATCGAGCGGGGGCCCTTTTCATCGCGGCTGCGTCCCCAACTGAGTGACGGGGATGTCCACAGCGAGGGCGCTGTTCCTGAGTTCGGGGAGCTCTCTGGCCAGGACCTCCCAGATCGCGAGGAAGTATCGAGCGGGGCCTTGTCGTCGCGGCTGGGGATCCGCGAACTTGATTGAAATGCGAAGAAGTCTCATGCGAGAGCGCCGTTCCTGGGACCTCTGCGGGCTGGGGCCTCTGTG